AAAACCCATAAACTTCCGGACCTGACAGTTTAGAAAGGGTTACAGGTATATTACTGACCAAAATAAGCAAGAAATCTAGTTAAATAATCTTTAGACAATTAAAAGTTAAGAGCAGAAAATATAGTTTTGCATTGTTTCATCAGTGTTGCTATTGAAATGTTTTCTATTTCTTATTTTAAAAGTTTCTTTATAAACTCACAAATAAACTAATGTGCCAAAATTTTCATCCCTAAGAACACTCATTAATAAATACAATTTGTGATATGTTGCCAATCTCATTGATATAAAAGTCAGGAGGTAAGTTGATTTTGAATTATTGACAAGGAGTAAAGAGTATTGTTCTATAAGTGCATTTTATTCTGTTTCATATCCATTATTAAACATCTATTTTGTGGTTTTAGTTTTCTTTCTTTTCTTTTCTTTTCTTTTTTTTGGTGAGGAAGATTCTTGTTGAGCTAACATCCACGCCAATCTTCCTCTACTTTGTACATGAGACACCACCACAGCATGGCTTGACGATCAGCGTGTAGGTCTGCGCCAGGGACCCAAACCTGCAAACCCCAGGCCACCGAAGTGGAGCACACAAACTTAACCACTATGCCACCAGACTGGTCCCAACACCTAGTTTTTTATCTCTCTTAGATAGGACACATATCCAATATAATACAGTATCAACTCCATATTATTTTGATTTACTCTACACCACTTTGGACTCCAAGAACTTTAATTTTGGATACACAAAACAAATTTCAATTAAGAATGAAAAAATTTTCTCATTCAGAATCACTGGGGATTAAAGTATTTTGATACATTACATAGTAATAATAATTGAGTTACAGATCGCTTTTCAAACGACCTACATATAATAGAACATTATAATTATTGTTTCATTATTTCATCTTTCTAAAAACTGATTCAAAAGGGCTTAGGGTCCTCCCTATGATTTCTAGTTACTATAAATGTACCAGTTAATGGGAGAGCTGTATTTTTAAAAGGCTAGATAGCAGAGTGAACTCTATGTCCTTGTGATGTCTAGGGTCTCTTTTCACAATAATTAATGAATCTTTAGCACAGAAGAAAATATTTATTGAGCACTTACTACAGGCAGATTTCTGTGCTAATCACTTGGTTCTTCTCATACATGGTCTAGAACTACAACTTGAGTTAGCAGCCAATTAATATTGGATGTCTGATAAAAGATCTACTAACAATCTTTTAGTCCTAAATAAATGTAAGTATATACGTTTATATATTAATGGCAAGTTTATAATAATGTATTAAAAAGGTATCACTGGAAATATTTATGCTAATTTTATGGCACCATCTACATCTTACTGATTAAGAAAACAAATTTCTGCTCATATTTGATCCATATTTTAATGGACTAATATGTGATCCTGAAATCTAATGTAAAGTTAATAGATAAGATTTGGTTTTAAGTGATAAGTGATAGTCCGGCCAAAAAACCCAATAACATTTTTGTTTTCTAAGGTTTTTTCTCTGTTATACCATTTAAGTACTTTAAAAAAATTTGTGAGTCCTAACAAAGAATTGCTAGCACCAATCTCCTACTCACAAAAATTAACTAAATAAAAGGCATCATAATAAACATAGTGAAAATTACTTTTCAGCACCATTTTCTTAATTGAATGCAACAAACTTTGAGGGTGTTTTACGAACCAGGAACTGTTCTTGGCACTGAGCATACAAAAATAAGACATAGTCTCTGCCCTCCAGAAGCTTAAAGACCAGTCGGGGAATAAACACTTAAATCAACAAATAATATCAACATAATTGGCAGAGGTATGTGGAGAAAGGAAAGGCTCTTAGCCTAGGTCGAGGGAGGTGAGGGACTGGGTAGGGTAACCACCACAAGGCACCAAGGAAGGTCATAAGAAGGAGATCATCTGCAGGGCCTTCATGGTGATGATGCCTGAGAAGTCTTGAAAAATTAAGAGACATACCCAGGTAAAGAATGGGGTGAAAATTTCAGTAAAGATACGGAAGTGTGGAATAGCATATTGGATTATAGGAAGCATAAACAGGAACTTTCTAAAATCATGTTCTACCAGGACCCCATAGCCTTTCTGTGGCTCTTCTTCTTTTGAACTTTACCATTTCAACCTTCATAGGCTCTAGTAAACTCCACCACCTGGAGGCTATATCTCTGTAAATCTCAAACATCCAGAGCATAGAAAGGGACCTAGAAATGAAAAATGGCTACCACAAAAGCCATGTGGTGAGAAGCAGAAGTTGACATCAAGAAGGAAACAAAAATTGCACAATAACCTGAGAATATTTAGTGTAGGGGCATTCAGCTCTACATGGTTCAAGACCTCTTTGAGAATATACTATAAAACAATACATTACCTGATAGTTAGAATAGTGACCCAGGGTCACCAAAATAAAGTTATCTTTTGTGTACCTTGTTTATAAACAGGGAGCTATGTAATAAATACACTTAGATCTCTATCCGATATTGTTTAAATACAAAGGTTTTATATTAAATGAGACATTTGCCAATATCCATGAAATTCATATTTGTGAACCACCTCATTTCTCAACCATACCAGACAGAAGAGATGTTATTAAGCACAACTAACAAAAGTTAGCAACATAAAGAGACTTTGGATAGAAAATATCTAGGCCCAGATTGTGATAAAAGAAAAAAGTTATAGTTTCTGATTTATTATATGCATTAACTCTTTTCATTTTTACATGACAAGATTTCTATTTCAAAAGCTTATTTCATCTGACATCTTCAAAGTCTCATAAATGTCTGTTGATGAATGAAAAGACGAATGAGTTTAAAAAAGATTTTATATGCTGAAGGAATGACTGACTATACAGCCTCACATTTCATAATAAACTGTAGCATATTAATTTGAGCCCCAAATTAGGCATAAAATAAAGGGATTCCATAAAGTATTCTACTTTCTCAAATTGCCAAGAAATGTGAGGTACATACTAGAGGTCAAATCTTTATTCTAGATTGAGACCAAAATATCAAAATAATGTAAAAATACTTTATTTTAAATATCAAACACACAAACCAGATTAGTCAATCTTGGGGGGCTATAATTAACCAGATATTTTACTACATCAAAAACTCTGTCCTCAAATAGCTAAATTCACATCATTAACCTTTTTTTAATTTAATTTTTTTATTAGAGTGTTGAAGTTTCTGCATTAAGCATACTATACACCATTTAGCTCTATGGACCTAGGAATTTAATCTAGTCATCTAAACTCACAACTGATCACTGATCTATAATCTATCTCTTCCCATGAATAGTCTATACATTCTAAATTAAATTCTACACAAGTTTTCATTCCTTTCTTATTCAGAGAGTCTTCACTCAGGCTTATCTAAAAGTCTCTATTAGGGCTTTAATATCCTAAATTATGCTATTTAGTTAATAATTTCTCTATTTCACATTAAATAAATTAACTCAGTAGTGTTAACATTTACAGAGAAACATTTCAGTTTCCACTGATTTACACTATTATGTACGTTATTCTCTCAGTGAAATGGTTAAGACTAGGAAAAATTAGTGCTGGAGTAGTGATTTATAATTTCACACAAAAAAATTCAGCATTTTATTTATAATAATCAAAGTATGAGAGTTTTTAAAATTATTTTTTCATAGAGTACAGCAGCCTAATTTTTTTTCCTGTTCTTGGCCAATGAAACCTTTAGATGTTAAAAATTAGACTTCACAAACCATTTTCCAAATATTCAAAGTGCAAGTTTTTAGAGCTATTTTTTAAATCCTGATAATTAAAAAATTTAAAAGCATAAGGAGTTTTTCATAAGAGAAAACACTTGAAGCATTATTCAATAATGACCATTTAAAAGTTTCTATATACATACTAAATACATACTGTTCATTGACTTATCATTTGGCGTTCTACATAGAGAAAAAAATGCTTATATGGGCCAAGGCAGTTAAGAAAAAAATGTAAGCATACCCATGTACAAACTGAGGATTTAAGACCAGAATATTGTTCTCAATTATACCGTTGAAACAAAAGCTTTACCATACTTATCTTGTCTCCCAAAGTATTTAATCAGATTTCGAAAACTGCATATACTTTAGCTCTAAAGTCGCCAAAGACCAAGGTTCATTGGCAGTAAGAGATGCTTCGATTATGGCGAAGAAAATGTCCACACTATTTGCAATATTTATCAAATCGACATTTTAATTAGGTGTCACTATCTCATTTATTAATAGAATAAATATGTTTCTCACAAATTCTGATTTTCCAAATATCACCACCTCCCCCAAGTTGAGATGCATCTGCCATTTTCAAGGTTTAAGAAACTCGTTGAAAAGACTACTGAAAAGTTTACAACAGTAGTGTGAAATTTAGTTATTCCAAGAAAGTACATACTGAAAAATTTTTTAGAAGCAAGGATAATTTCATGACTTTGAAAATGAATTCAAATGAAACTCTTAATTTAAGCCTGATTTTTGCTTTGGGTAAAGAAGGATCATTAGAAGATCGAGTTCCAAGGGAACAGGTGCCAACCACTTTAAAATTTATCTTTCCCATATGACAACATTTACCCTTTAGAAGAAAAAAACAATCATTTTTCATTCTAATCAAGTCACTCAGATTAGCCTAATTCTAATGGACACTGAGGCCATGGACGAAAAAACATTCAAAAGGACTAGTTGTTCCAACCCAGGTTTGCTGACATTTCAGGGTAGCCCCGTAAGTATTCTTCCTCTGCAGACTTATAGTTGACCCCTGACAACCCCTAAGAAATAAAACTGCGGAGAAGTTATCACTTTCCAAAGTTAGGCGAGGGGGTAGGGGGCAAATGAGAGATGTATGAGAACCTACACGTTTTGCCCTCTGAAATGCCTCATATTTACTTTTGACCAAAGAAATAAATAGAAGCAAAACCGAGATTCAGAAGGAACTCTCTCTGCTGCGTGCACCAGTCGAGCTTTTCAAAGACCCCTTAGAAAAGAAGCGGGCTGGAGGCTCACCTTCCATCTTGCCGCCGAGCTGGGCTGGGCTGGAGCTGCCGCTCTGGCTACCCGGCCGCTCCACGTGCTCCTGCCGTCGTCGGGACGCAGCGCACAGCTGGCGGGAGATTCCCGGCGCGGGGAGTCCCCGGGATCCGCCGCCGCGTCGGCGCAGATTGAAAGGGGCAGGAACCGGCGACCGGCCGGTGCGCGGGGTTACAGCGGCGCTGGCTGGCGGCGGCTTTAAAGGACGCTCACCGCCGAGCGCCCGAGGTACCGCTCCTCCAGCCCCCTTTTGAATGTCAAAGCCGAGAACCCCGATAGGATGGAAATGGCGCATCAGTACATTGTCTCAAAATGTCTATTTTAGAAGGATAATGGGTAGGAGAGTACCAGCACATGGGGGAGAGGCGATCTGGATTGCTTTCTCGCAAGTTTAAGTTCAAAGAGGTGTGTCTTAAATTGAGCAAAATCTGGAACTTTGGGTCTAGATTCGGGGATGACAGCCATGAATACCATCGATGAAAACTCACGACATTCGAAGTATTATGTTTTTCATTCTCAGTTTCTCCTTTCTTGTGATAAAATTTCTTGGTCCAAGTTTTCAGAAAGTTCTAAGACAGTTCAAAACGCTTTGGGCACTTTTATCACCTCGACTTTTTCATTTTTGAATGCAATTCTCTCACTTTTGTTTTCCCTTCTGGGAACTGCTTGGTTTACTTGCCACCGCTCACAGAATACTTACATACTCTATTTATGCGTGTTTATTTTCTACTACCCTGCCTTCTTCCAAATAGGATCTGAGACAGCTTACAAAAATACATATGTAATATATCAGAAAAGTAAAGAAAATAGAGCTAAGGAGAGGCGGATGATAAGATAGTAAACTCAAAGATGTTCGTACACAGAGATGTACCAGTCACTGTCTTTTCCCAACATCCTTCTCACCTTATAGAGATAAAGCACACATCTGACTGTAGAGAAAGGCAAAGGGAAATGACCACATAATTTTTCAAAAGCAGAACTTTTCTTCATACTGAGGTCTAAGGGGCATTGTTGAGGTGAGTCTTTATAAAGGTACCCAGTAATGTCGAATTGGACATGCGAATAATTCTCAAAAAGGCCACCTTCACTCGTTAAAAAATTACATTGTTATTGTATAAAAATATATTTGAGAGTTAAGATTGGGGGTTTGTGCATCAGCAGACCACATTAGAAGAAATCCACACTTATGAGTTAATGTATGCATGTCATAATTTTATGAATTTTAGTTTATTTTAAATATGCATTGGTATAGGAAGTCAAGATATATATACACATATATGTGTACATGTGTATGATTTTTTTAAATGAGTGAATAACTTGCATTTGCTTTAAGATCATGGCACCATGCAGCATCTCCATAGCTTGCATGAGTTGGAGTTCTACAGGATAATATCAATTTTGGAGAAATACTCTAAACACTAGGTCTAATTTTAGTATTGAAAGGGGAAATTTGTTGTTTGTTAGTTTCTAAAAGCAAAAATAGCACATCAAAAGTAGCAGAAGAGGAACTGTAAAATTTCACAGGGATGGTGTAAGGATGAATGGTTATTTGGTTATTAAAATGTTATGAAAAACTTATTATCTTCCATCACAATGTTCTTTATACTTAACATTGGAACGTGTTACTACTCTGTAAATAATTAGTTCAGAATTGAGTATTTCAAACTCCAGAGAGCGATACCTAAGGGGATAGAAAAAAGTAAATAGGTAAAATAATTTATGTCCCTACTCCACCATCAAGGAGGTGGAGCATAAATCCCCACTGCTTAAGCGTGGGCTTCACATAGTGACTTCCTTCCAAAGAGTACAGTACGAAAAGGGTGGGGGGGGGGGAACTTCATAGCAGAGAAACCTGACAAACAGTACCTCAGTCAGGTAATCAAGGTAACCGGCTAGTGATAAAGGATGTTGATAGTATGTACCCTTGATACAATGTGATTAGAATGGCACTTTACCTCTGTAGTCTTCCACCCAAAAACCCATAACCCCAGTATAATAATGAGGAAAAACATCAACTAAATTCCAATAGAGAGGCATTCTGCAAAGTACCTGATCAGTTAAAATCAGGTCAATGTCATCAAAATTGTCATTAACTGTTAAGGTCATCAAAAACAAGAAATGTCTGAGAAACTGTCACAGCCAAGAAGAACCTAAAGAGACACGATGACTAACTAAATGTAATGCGGCATCGTGGATGGGATCCTGGAGCAAAAAAAAAAGGACAGTAGGTAAAAACTAAGGAAAGCTGAATAAAGTAAAGACTTCAATAATGTATCAATATGGGTTCATTAATGGTGAGAAATGTACCCTACTAATGTAAGATGTCAACGGTAGGGAAGACTAGCTGGGAGTACATGAGAACTCTCTGTACTGTCTTCACAATTTTTCTGTAAATCTAAAACAGTTCTAAAGTTTATTTTAAAACAGTGGATGGGTACTTTCAACAAACTACTCATTTCGTTAAATCTCTTCTCACAGTATTCAAAGTTTATCACACAGGAGTTACAAGGACCACTTACTTATAACTGGGAAACTAATAAAACACTGTGGGTTTATAATGCACTTTGACTAAAACTGGACTGATAAACTCCTAGGGAATCAAAGATAATGCCTAAATTTGTCTTCATTAGCATCACCTTAAGAAGGGAACAGTTGAGACTAAACCATGAATCTAGACGCGGTAACTGACAGGGGTGGATCTGACTCACTGAATCACATTCCTGGCTTATGCTATGTAGATAAAATTAACAGTGACTAAAAATGAAATCACTGACAAAGGTTGCTCCGTGGACCATCTCAGAGAGTCCAAGTACATATTCGGCTCAAAGGAAATAAAACTGAAAACTCGTAATCTCACCCCCAAATAATCATTCTGCACCCTGTCTGAACCTTGGGCTCTCTACTCATCAGCCTACTCAAAACCACGACTGAGGGTGTCCCGCTGCTAAGAAACAGACAACACACAGGGCCTTTCAGGCCGCCAAATGAGTAGGGAAGAGGGAACCATGAAAGACACGGGCATGGTTTCTTTGGAGCTCTCTGATCTTGACTTATCATCCATCCCCACAGGAAAAGCAGATTTGGGCATCTCGCCTTTCAGTTGGGCCCGCTTTTTAAAGCAATGTTACCGCACACAACTCTAGATAAATTTGCATGCGGGGTCTCCACGTCGTCTGAGGCTTGAAGTTGAAAATGAAGAGTAAATGCTCCTCTAGGGCAGGAAGGCCTGGACATGCCTTGTTGGCGCACTAGTGGCTCTTCGCTTTGCGGGCAGAAGAATGCAGTTAGGGAAAAACTGGGTGTGAGCGTTTGAAAAGGATTGTGCACACAGTTTCGGGCGGACTTCATGAGGAGAAAGGCATAGGAAATTCCCACGCGGGGCTCCCTGTCTCCTGTGAGGAGGAAATTCTCACAGCTTCTCCCTGCCTCAGGCGCGAATATAATTAAATGGCATACCCCCTCGCCGCCCTACCTCACCGCCGTACTTGGGACCCAATTGGGACCTACGGTCTCGTCGATCTCTTCAGCCCCTAGACTAAGGAAGTGACTGAAACGCGAAGCCTTGGGTTCCTTTCCTTCACTCTTTCCTGCTCTCAGGGGCTGCTCAGAGACGTCAGTCGCCGAGAGCGCGGGAAAATGGCGCCGGACACGAGGCGCGAAGCGCAGCGCGCTACACCCCCTGCCCCGCGCGCGCCCCCCCCCCAGCGTCTGCGCCCCGCCCCCACGCGCCTGCGCCCCGCCCCCACGCGCCTGCGCCCCGCCCCCACGCGCCTGCGCCCCGCCCCCACGCGCCTGCGCCCCGCCCCCACGCGCCTGCGCCCCGCCCCCACGCGCCTGCGTGCCTTGGAGCATGCACGCACTCTCCTGCGCGTCAGCTCCCGCGATAGAGGCGGACGGGTAGGGGAGGTGGCCCCGGTGGTTTGTTCCGCTGTGTGGCGGGGCGATGGGGAGGCGTTGGGCCGGGGCTGAGGTAGGAAGGAGCCCGTCCCTCGACGCCTCCCGCCACGCTAGCCCCTGAGCCGTGATGCGAGCGTGGGTCCTACTCTTCGCGGTGCTCTGGTACCTCACAGGAGGTGGGGCTCGTCCCGCCTGGCCCCAGGCCTCTCCCCTCCTCCCCGTGCTGCCTCCTCCGCTTCGCCCCGCCCCAGTCTGATCCCTGGCTCCTCTTCTGTCTAAAAAGTCAGTGGTTTCTTTCCTCTGCAGTTGGACGGCAGCGTTACTCCGAACGCACTAAGAAAGGCTTCATTTATGGCAAGCCAGGACACCTAGGTAATGAGGACCTCTTCACCCGCAGAGTCTAAGAGAAGAGCTGGGGGTGCCGTGGACCTGCTAAGGCTCTTCCCGCGGAGGGAAAGGGAGCGAACGTTTATCGAACGTCTGCCGTGTGCTCCGCACTTCCCGAAGGCTGCGATGTTTCATCCTTACAGCGACCCCAGTACGCCTTAGTTGTATCGCCTTGCCTAAAGCCCCACAGCTGTAAGGAGCTGGGATTCAATCCAGATGTCTGTCTCTGATGCCACCTCACTTCCAGGTGTCTCTGCTGCTTTGCAGCCTGCGAGGCTCACTCACAGGAGTGATTTCCAAGCCTGGAAGTGCCTCGGTTTGCAACACCCTTACCCCTTCCCTCATTAGCCAGAAGAACTCCTACGCATACTCTAAGGCTCAGCTCAGATGTTATCACTGTGATGAAACTTTCCCACACTCTCCAAGGAAAATTAGTCACATGGCTAACTTTAGATAACTTTGGGCCAGTTCATAGCGTTTGTCACGTTTGGAATCTCTCCATGTTTAGAGTTCCTCACTTTCCACCAAATTGAAGGATGCAGTCTTCTTTATAAGTTAGAGCCTGGCATTCAGTAGGCTCTCAAATTAATATCTCGTGAGAGTGGTTTGGTTCCAAGCAGACTATTGTTGCTTCCACCAAATCCGAAACAGAGTAGGTCATTGCAGAAAATCTTCCTAGTATTCCCCACATGGGCTTAATTATTGTTCCCAACAGAGGACATTTATAGTTAAATATAAAGTTTCCATTAGGGATGACAATGATCATCTTTAAAATAGTTTTGCAACCAAGCTGAAGTCCTTTTCTGATCTTTAAATTGATTCTACTAACCCTTCAAAAAATTATGATTCTAGTGAGTTCTGAATCTGTATGTTAAACTTCTAAGTGTATCATGTACATTTTTTAAAAGATTTTATTTTTCCTTTTTCTTCCCAAAGCCCCCCACCTCCACCCCGTACATAGTACATAGTTGTGGGTCCTTCTAGTTGTAGCATGTGGGACGGTGCCTCAGCATGGCCTGATGAGAAGTGCCATGTCTGCACCCAGGATCCGAAACCCAGGGCCACCGAAGTGAAGCCCGGGAACTTAACCACTCCGCCACCACGGACTGGCCTCATATCATGTACATTTTTATAAACAAAACTGTTACATCACAGAAAAATGAAAAAATACTGACTCTAGCAGTCTAGAGTTTTAAAAACTTACTATGAGAAGCAAAAAGGACTTTAAAGTAGCATTGTAAATGTTATACCAGTATGCTGATTTTTAAAATAGTGAAATCGAAAAAGAATTAATGAGGGTATCTTTGGGACAAAATGGGGGAAGTGTATTTCTTAATTTAAATTTGCTATATAATGTAGTTAAATATTTTATTTTGACACAGTAAAAATATATGTAAAATTACATCGCAATAGCCCAATCCTTGTCTGTATGGATTTTAAACGCGCTGAAAAAGAAACAGTGGACCCCACCTACTTATGGATTGGGCCTAATGAAAAGCAGTTAACAGGTAAATTATTTGATCTTAGAATCATTTTTAATGATATGAACATCATTTTAGAAAAGCACTGTTGCTTATTGGAATGAACAAATTGAAATTTAATTTTAACAGCAGTTTCACTTGCTCCATACCCAGACAAATCGTGTTATATCTTGATCTGTGGCTTATTTTCTCTTTATGCAAAAACCGAAGCAGTAATTTTTGTACTCTATTTCCCAGAACTGTATTACTTCAAAAGTTTTTATGAAACCTAAAATTTATGCTTGTAGCGTTTGTAATAGGAGATGAAGTACCTGATATGTAGTTTTTCATGATGTTAGAAGAGTGTCTTGGAATATAAGCATTATTAATTTCTGTCTTATGCAAAGAAATCGTATAGTACTACAAGGCAGTATAATCTCATTTACTCAATTACTGGCATAAACCAGTCAAAATTAGATGTCAAGAAATGAATTAAAGAAAACCAAGATATATTTGAAAAGTGTGCTTATGTGGTTTTTCATAGAGAAGTAGGACAGAATTAAGATTTTGTTGAATTCTTGAAGTTTAAATAGTCCATTAATTTTTAAATTTATGTGTTTAGTTGTAACCCCAAATAAATAGTATTGGAATTGTCATACATTAAATAACTAAATAATTTACTATTTCTGTTTAGGAAATTACCGAATAAATATAACTGAAACAGGAAAGCTGATGGTAAAAGATTTTCTGGAGCCTTTGTCTGGACTTTACACATGTACTCTTTCTTATAAGACTGTCAGAGCAGAAACCCAAGAAGAAAAGATGGTAAAGCAGAGATATGACTTTATGATCTTTGGTAAGAATGTAGGCACATTTTAACATACATTTAGTTTGGATAAGAATTAAGTGTATAGTTTTTTCATTTAGTGAAAATGAGCCTGTTATATATAATTATTATGACTTACAGAGTATTTGGAGTGTATTTGACCAGAAAATCCTTAACTTGACATCAACATAGTATATCCTAAATAATCCTCTTTCAGCCTCGCACTTCCCACTATCTAGGTATGCAAGGACAATCTACCACAACTTTGCCAGGTAATTTAAAAGCTGATGTTTAATTCCGTAAAATCACATTAGTGATCCTTTTCACTGGACATTGCTGACAGCAATGACACTTTCTGCAAATTAAGACTTTCCCTCGGTGCTGGCCTGGTGTTGTAGTGGTTAAGTTCCCGCACTCTGCTTTGGTGGCTTGGGGTTTGTGGGTTTGGATCCCAGCCACGCACCTGTACACCACTCATCAAGCTATGCTGTGGCAGTGTCCCACATACAAAATAGAGGAAGATTGGCACAGATGTTAGCTCAGCGACAATCTTCCTCACCAAACAAAGAAAAAAAAAGACCTTCCCTCACAAAATCTTTTTTTCTTGATACTGTAACTTATCTAGATAGCCAGCCCACAGAAGGCATTTCTTCTCTTGTACTGAATAGATGATATATCAGATGAAAGTAACCTTTTCTCGTTAAAGTTATTAGATTTATATATTTTGTGAGGATAAACTGATAAAACATTTTATTAGATAAGTTTCTACACTGATTTGCAAGATTGATGGGATTTAATATTACATGTTATTTGAAAATTGGTAGAGGAAATTAATTTGAGGCACAGTTGTTTTTATTCTCATCTTTTTTTTAAAGCCTATCGGGAACCTGATTATTCATATCAGATGGCTGTACGTTTTACCACAAAGTCTTGTATAGGAAGATACAATGACCTGCTTTTTAGAGTGCTGAAGAAAATCTTGGATAATTTAATCTCTGATTTGTCGTGCCATGTCATAGAACCATCATATAAATGCCATGTTGTTAAAGTTCCCAAGAATGGCCTCATTCCTGAGCTATTTATAGCCTTTCAAGGTAAAAAAATTTCAACATTTGTTTAACATTATGAGTTTAATATTGAACAACTAATTAATTAATATATCACAAAATTAATTACCATATTAATATGAGATATCCTACAAATAGTAGACCTTAAATGTTTGTTCAGCTCTAAAGTATATTGTTGTTCTTAGCCTGGTTATGGTTTTTAAAATTAACACATTAATTATTTACCTTCAATTATGATATATTGTTGCTTATCTTATAGAAGTCAATATCATTTTATAAATATGGGCTTTAACTGTGCACCTAACATTTGGCTTATAATTTCTTATAGAATTTTAATTGTATTTTTGAAAACTTAATAAAAGGGAGGAACCAAACCAAATTTATTCATTTTAAAGCCTTGTAGTTACTTTGATTAGCCCCCAGATGGAGTGAAATCATAATGTATACATTACTCAAATCGTGCACCTTGCTTTATTACTACGATCAGATAGATTAAACACATGCACACATGCATACTGAATTCAACTTTTAGAGCTTTATTGGAATGTTTGGAACTTCATAGAATCTTTTTGTGAAGATGCCGTTTTTTTCCTCTCTAGTTAATCCTTTTGCACCAGGGTGGAGAGGTGCCTGTAAGGATTCCATCGACTGTGAAGATATCACTAATCATAATATCCTCCAGGTGAGAATTTCAGTGGTAAGGGGAAAGTGTTTGAATAGTCAGTGAACCTATTTAAAAATTTTTGTAAACACTTCATTTTATTAATTAAAAAGTTTCTTCAAAAATCTATTTCTCCATTTTGTGAATATTCATCAATAGTAAAGACATTCTAAGGAAGTAGATTTAAATTATTCTTTTAAAAAATCTTAAATATGAAGTATTACTGATTTTTGGTTTCAGTTTTTGTTTTCTTTTTCTTTTGAGGAAGATTAGCCCTGAGCTAACATCTGCTGCCAATCCTCCTCTTTTTGCTGAGGAAGGCTGGCCATGAGCTCACATCCGTGCCCAGCTTCCTCTACTTTATATGTGGGACGCCTACCACAGTATGTCGTGCCAAGCGATGCCATGTCCACACCCAGGATCCGAACCGGCGAACCCCAGGCCGCCAAAGCAGAACGTGTGCACTTAACTGCTGTGCCACTGGGCTGGTCGACTGGTTTCAGTTTTTTAAATTAAGATAGAGTTTGGCTACTTCAAGATGTTTTGTTTTGGAATGGTATATCTGGAATATTACATGGCTCCTCAGGTTGATATAAAGTATTTTTTCTGTGATGGAAGGATGGGTTCTTTGTTCCCCGAATGGTAACTGAGCAGCATCTTTCAACAAACTCACAATCATGTCAGCTTAGGTTAAACCAGTGGTTCTTCCAAAATTGTGTCTGTATTGGTCATAATAGTTGCTCTCTCTTCTGCCATCTTCAGAGGTTAAGGACATAGTCTGAAAACTCCTTTTACTCTCTTGATCTAGTTCCTGAGCCCATACCCTTAATATTGTGCATGGCTTATGGGAAGCACTCAGTTAATATTAGTTATTATTAAACTCTGTGCTCATAAAATAAAATAAAATTTACATCAGTAGTTTGTAATGCTGATTAGAGAGAAGTTTTGGTTTCCATTTTTCTTGGCTTTTTGGAATTAGAGATAATGAACTCCTAGTTATCTATGTATGGAATATACATGCTGCAAATAATTCAAAGCAAGTGTTCTTTAACCTCAATTTAATTTTTCTTAACCATTGTAAATATGAATTGGCAATAATTGATAAGTTCAAGGCTAGACTAATTTTAGTATAACCCACAACTTTTCAGGAATTCATCTGTTGTATAAAGCATGGCATGCTTATACTACGCTTCATTGCCTCTGATACAGGAGGAGAAATTTGTTTAACAGTTTAGTAATTGTACTTCTGTTTGGTATTTTTAAATCTTAGGCAAGAGATCGGATAGAAGAATTTTTCCGGAGCCAAGCCTATATTTTCTACCACGACTTTAACAAAACTCTACCAGCCATGCATTTTGTGGACCACAGTTTTCAAGTGATACGTTTGGATAGCTGTCGTCCAGGCTTTGGAAAAAATGAAGGTCTACACAGTAATTGTGCTAGCTGTTGTGGTAACTATAAAATATAAATATCTAAATATGTAGATTATATAATAAGAAGAATAGATAAGTAATCCACTAAGGATAATTGAATTAAATCTTTGTAGTGACTCTTACAAAAAATTATGTTTAGCTAAAGGGAAATAAAAATTTCTTACTATAATTTCTAAATATAATTATCTTCATGTATATTAATTCTTCCTAATGTGCTCTTTTGTATTATAAAACATTTCTGTAGTGTTCTGGCTTAAGCTACTGTACTGTGAAGGAAAACAGAATGGTCCTACTTAGAAAACAGAGACTTGGAAATAGGAACTAGAAATAGGAACTCAGAAATGGGGCACTGCAGAAGATAATGTAAAATTCTGATAATAATGGAAAAAATAGTTAGGATTCTTTCACCTACCGTTAAGATCATCAAATTAAAATTTTGAAAATTATAAGTAATCTTCCACAACTTAACTGGCTAAACGTTACTCAGTATAACATCAGTATAGAAATGGTGTGATATTGAAGGCATATTTCTGTTACTGGTATAAAATATCTCTAACCGAAATTATAATAATCTACTCCATGTGTTTTCCTTTGCAGTGGTTTGTAGTCCTGGAACTTTTAGTCCTGATGTTGATGTTACTTGTCAGACCTGCATTTCCGTCCATATCTATGGAGCTAAATCTTGCCCATAAACTTCAAACAAAAATTGCAATATGAAGACTAGAGGTGAAAGCATTGTTACTTGCTTGTGGGGGTGGGGAGATAAGATGATTTATTTACATCCCAGAGCATCATAGATAGTTTCATTAAGTAAGATCGGTAAGACCAAGACATTGGAAAACATACAATTTAGAAACTTTAAAAAGATTGTTGACATGGCATTTCTAAGAAGGCATTTAATCTAATATCTCCAGTGTACAAAGGAAAGTGTAAGTATTAGTGGGTGATTTTTAATGAAATATGTTTTGTTGTTTACAAATTAAGTCTGTTGCTCTGTACCTAAGACTGTATTAAGGTCAACAAAAGTAGAAAGTATAATGTAATAAAAACTTTATACTTTCCATATATTAATTTGTTCAAAATCACTCTTACATGATATAAAGGTGTATATATTACCTTTGTAATTAGAACCAAAAAAGTTATTTCTTTTGGTCCCTTTGCTTTTAATTTATTTTTAAAATAATTAATTTTATTATATTTATATATAAAATATAAGATAAAATAATTTTATTAATTTCATATAATTAACTTGTTTTTTTAGTACAGTTTTTAGACTTAGAGAATAGTTGAGCAGATATTACAGAATTCTATATACCCACTCCAGCCCATGCCCTTACCCCTCCCCAGTTTCCTCTATTATTAACATCTTGCATTAGTATGATACATTTGTTACAATTAATTCGCCAATGTTGATATGTTATTAACTAAAGTTCATAGTTTACATTAAGGTTCATTCTTTGTGTTGTGCAGTTCTATAGATTTTGACAAATGCATAATGACATGTGTCCGCCATTACAGTTTCATACAGAATAGTTTCACTACCCTAAAAATCACCATGCTTCACCTATTCATCTCTCCCTCCCAAAACCCTTAATAACCACTGATATTTTTACTGTCTCTATAGTTCTGCCTTTTCTAAAATGTCATGTCCTTGGAATCATACAGTATTTAGACTTTTCAGACTGGCTTCTTTCACTTAGCAATATGCATTTAAGGTTCCTCCATGTCTTTTTGTGACTTGATAGATCATTTTTTATTGCTGAATAATATTTCATTGTATAGATGTATGAAGCACATCTTTGTTGCTTCCAGTTTTTGGTAATTATGAATAAAACTGCTGTAAACATTTGTGTGCAGGTTTTTGTGTAGACGTAAGTTTTCAGCTCAATTGCATATATATCTAGGAGTATGATTGCTGGATTGTATGGTAAGATTATGTTTAGTTTTGTCAGAAACTGCCAAACTGTCTCCAAAATTGGTTTACTGTTTTGCATTTCCACTGGCGATGAATGTGTTCTTGTTACTCCTCATCCTTACCAGCTTCTGGTATCTTCAGTTGTGTTTTTTTTGTTTTTTTTTTTTGGCCGTTCTAATAGGTATATAGTAGTATTTCATTGTTGTTTTAATTTGAAATTTCCTCTGATGCTGAGCGTTTTTTCTCTGATGTCTGATGCTGAGCATTTTTTTCATATGCTTGTTTGTCATCTCCTTTGGTGAGATGTTTTCAGATCTTTGTCCATTTTTTTTGTTGGATTGTTTATTCTTTTATTGTTGAGTTCTAAGAGTTCTTTGTATATTTTAGATACAAGTTCTTTATCAGATACCTGTTTTGCAAATATTCTCTCCCATTCTGTGACTTGTCCCTTCATTCTTTTAACAGTGTCGTACAGTGAGCAGAAGTTTTTAATTTTAGTAAAGTCCAGCTTATCAAATTTTTCTTTCCTAGATCATGCTTTTGGTATCATTCCTAAAAACTCATCACCAAACCCAAAGTCATCTAGATTTTCTTCTGTTATATTCTAGAAGTTATATAGTTTCATGTCTTACATTTAGGCCTAAGATGAATTAATTTTTTTGAAAAGTGTAAGTTGTATGTCTAGTTCATTTTTTTGCATATGGATGTCCAATTCTAGCACCATTTGTTGAAAAGACTATCCTTTCTCCGTTGAATTTCCTTTGCTCCTTTGTCAAAGATCACTTGACTGCATTTGTGTGGGTCTATGTCTGGGTCCTCTATTCTGTTCCATTTATCAATTTATCTATTCTTTTATCAGTACCACACTACCTTGATTACTGTATAGTAAGTCTTAAATTTGATATCAGTCCTCTTGACTTCATTCATCTTCTTCAATGTTGTGTTAGTTATTGTGGATGTTTTGCCCTTCTGTATAAACTTTAGAATCAGTTTGTTGATAACCACAAAATAACTTGCTGGGAGTTTTGTTGTAATTGCATTGAACCTATAGGTCAAGCTCGGGAAAATTGACATCTTAACCATATTGAGTCTTCCTATCCAGGAACATGGGGTATCTCTCTCTTTACTTAGGTCTACTTTGATTTATTTCATCAGAGTTTTGTAGTTTTCCTCATAAAGATCCTGTACATATTTTCTTAGATTTATGCCTAAATATTTAATTTTTGGTGTGAATATAAATGACATTGTATTTTTAATTTCAAATTCCATGCATTCATTGCTGATATTTAGGAAGGCAATTGACTTTTGTATATTAACTTTATATCCTGTGACCTTACTGTAATCACTTATTAATACCAAGAAGTTTTTTGTTGATTCTTTGGGATTTTCTATGTAGGCAATCATGTCATCTGCAAACAAAGACAGTTTTATTTCTTCCTTCCCAATCTGTGTATCTTTTACTTCTTTGTCTTGTCTTATTGTGTTAACTAGATGCTTTCAGTATGATGTTGAATGGGAATGGTGAGAGGGGACATCCATGCCTTGTTCCTGATCTTAGGGAAAAAGCATCCAATTTATCACTATTAAGTATGATGTTAGCTTTGTTGTTGTCAGTGCTGTCAAGTTGATTCTGACTCCCAGCGAGTCTGTGTACAGCAGAGAGGAACCCTGCCCTTTTTTTTTTTGTAATTCCTTTTTTTCCCAAAGATTAGCACCTGAGCTAACAGCTGTTGCCAATCTTTCTTCTCCCTCTCCCCCTCTCCTCCCCCCTCCCTCCCTTCTCCCTCCCCTTCCCCTCTCCCGCCTCTCCCAGTCCTCCAGCGCCCCCCAGTACCTGGTTGTATGCTCTAGTTGCAGGTCCTTCTGGTTGTGCTATGTGGGATGCCGCCTCAGCATGGCTTGCTGAGTGGTGCCATGTCTGCACCTAGGATCCAAACTGGTGAAACCCTGGGCTGCTGAAGCAGAGCGCAGGAACTTAACCACTCAGCCACAGGGCTGGCCCCTAATTCTTTTTTTTTTTTATGCTTTTTTTTTTGGTGAGGAAGCTTGACCCTGAGCTAACATTTGTTGCCAATCTTCGTCTTTTTTTCCCCCCAAAGCCCTAGTACGTAATTGTATATCCTAGTTGTAAGTCGTTCTAGTTCTTCTATGTGAGATGCCTCCACAGCATGGCTTGATGAAAAGTGTGTAGGTCTACACTCAGGATCTGAACCGATGAACCCCAGGCCACTGAAGCGGAGCATGCCAACTTAACTACTTGGCCATAGGACCAACCCCCTGCCCTGTCTTTTTAGGCCATCCTCTCACCTTCCAGTACTATGTTAGCCAGATGCTATGCTGTTATTGATAGGATTTTTATGGCCCATTTTTTTCTGACATGGGCGGCCGGGTCCTTCTTCCTCGTCTGTCTTAGTCTGGAAGCTCCACCATGGGTGACCCTGCTGGTATTTGAAATACTGGTGGCATAGCTTTCAGCATCACAGCAACATGCAGCCACCACATATGGCAACTGACAGATGGCTGGTGTTGTTCACTGGCCAGGAAATGAACCCAGGCCATGGCAGTGAGAGTGCCGAATCTTAACAACTAGACCACCAGGGCTAGTTAGCTATAGTTTTTTAATAGATGGTCTTTGTCAAGTTGAGGAAGTTCTCCTCTATTCCTAATTTGCTGAGAGTTTTTGTCATGAATGGGTATTGGATTTTGCAAAATGCTTTTTCTGCATTTATAGATATGATCATAGGATTTTTCTTCTTTAGCCTGTTGATGTGAAGGATTACATTAATTGATTTTCAGATGTTGAACCATCCTTGCATATTCAGAATAAATCCCTTTTGGTCATGGTGTATAATTACTTTTATACATTGTTGGATTTGATTTGTGAATATTCTGTTGAGGGCTTTTGTGTTTATGTTCATGAGACATATTGGTCTGTAGTTATCCTTTCTTGTAATATTGTTATCTGGTTTTAGTATTAGGGTTATTTAGTATTAGTATTAACATCATAGGTATGTGTGTCAGTCTGGATCCAATCAGGAGACAGAAAACACAAAGTAATTTGAACAAAGTTTAATATAAAGAATTATTAACTGTAACAGGGGATTAGAGTAACAAGGAATTGGCTAGTAAGATATAAAGAGAACCATAAAAAATATAGGAATAGCATATATAAAGAGCAGCTACTACCATTAGGACTGAGATAAAGTGTCCAAGAAAGGGCCACCATCTGCTAGGGCTGAGATCCAGACCTTATTGAAGAGGGCACAACAGTGGGTCACTAGACGGCAGAAAAGTCACTGATGCTGGAAATTCACTCTCTGGAACTTTCCAGAGATCCACCCTCTAGTATGCCAAGGAAAGCTGTTCTTGAGGAAATTTCTCGCTCTGCTACAAAACCACACAAGGAGAAGGGGTTGTTGGCAAAGCTACTGGCCACCATGCACTGCAGGATATGGACACTGGAAACATTCACATGCTACAAGAGCCTGCCAAGGGAACAGCTCAGAACCAGGAAGAAAACTCCTTTCCTCCTATAGTGTCTCTCCAGCATCTTCTTCTGACAGAGTTTAATGTGCCAGCCAGCAAAGGAAAATGTCTACAAGGCCCAGATCCATTTTTACAAATCAGGCAAAAAGTATTTATTTGGAACTGAGAAGCAATAACTGGGACAGTCCAACCCTTTGGCTACTCAGCTTCCATATTCACCTTTCTACACGCATTTGAACTCTTGTACATTAACAAAGCAGTTTTATATTTCTACCGAAGAAGATAACAGCTATCCATCTTACAAATATTGACCTTTTCCCAAAAATGTGGAAACACGTAGTCCCAAAAGTCATTGTTTCTATTGCTGGCTATATTAATTACTCCTCAAATTCAGTCACAGTCCCATTCTGTTACCTGTGGGCTAAATTTTAGAATTAACTTTCAACAACTTGTATATAAAATAAAAATGGGAAAGAGAGAGAAGAAGAAGATGGGTAGTGTACTAAAATAAACGTATGAATATAACAAGCAAAGGGAAAATATGCAAAGCTACTTTGTTTCTGTAATTGCTCATAAGGTTGTAATTGATACCTATGGCTTCCTTCTTGAACTACTGATTCCATATTTTTCTTGCCCTCAGCCAGAACTTCAGTTGCTCTGGGCT